CAAGGGTTTCAAAAACAGACTGTTTCTGCTGAAAGTGAGGAAAACTCTTTGCCTGAATTTGACTGAGCATCTTAACCGCATACTTCTCTCACATACTGCCTACTGTTTCTGAAATTTATTTTGTTGATTTCCTAAACATTTCTTTATTATACTTTCTTCTGTTCTGTTCAGCGAATTGAAAATTGTAATCTGCTGTTCTGAAATAAGCTGTCTCCGTCTTCATATTCTTACTTTTTAATGCATTATGCGCAGAATACTTTCAGACATGGCTTTCAACCCTAACTAGTTGAGTTCCACTAGGAATAAGCCTCATGCTATGCCTGAGTTAATGTGGCACTCAGTAACGAATCAACGAACTAACGCATTTTAACGTAACGGCAATTTTTTGCCTAAATTAACGAACTAACGAGTTAACGAAATCGCAAATTTCTCTAACGCACAGCCCTGATCCGTACAATGTTGTTTTCAAAGTGGTACTAACTAAGAGTGGACTGAGGGAACAGTTTTCAAGAATACTTTAAAATTTCCTTTGTTACTAAATTTTGCTACAATTATTGTTCTGCTAAAAAATTTAGAGATCATAGAGACTAGGTAAGCCCGTTTGAGCAACACCTTCTTTTACAACTAGATCCCTCTGAACGAATGACGGTCTAGCTTTACCCAGGAATAGCTGAGATATATCACTCACACCTCTTCACTGACGGCTGCTTTTCATCAAAGGATCCTAATTGCAGGCAAAAAACTCGAATACTTTACACAGTACTGCATATCCTTCAGCAAAGACATCACAAAATACACATCACAAATGTGGCAGATATCGAATTACCTCTATTCTTACGGCTCAGAAGCTCAGAAGCTAAAGAAATTTCCGTGCTGTAACCTTCAAAAGTAAGCTGATTCGACTACGCTACGAAAAGTAGAAAAAAATGACGGAGTTTGAGAGCAAAAACACAGCCTTCAATTTAAAGTGGAGAAATGCTCCTAGAATCTATGCTATAAGTTAGCAGAAAAGAACATATAGAATCATGCAAACTTTATCCCCAAAACATTTTCAGAGCGAAATTCTGCTGCGGTTCC